CATTACGGGTTTAGAACAAGGCTTTTTTGGGTAGGTGGGGTTGTGCACTATAAACCCCTGTGGCACTGTCTTTATTCCAGGGGCGGTTCAAGGGGCGGGGCCACAGGGGCATTGGACCCAGCTGAAATCCGATTGGCCCCCTGAAGTGCCCCTGTCCTGTCACTCATCTGTCCTTTGCCCAAGAGCAATGATGGCAGATGCAGTTCCATGTCCAAACACTAGAGGCGCTAATGAGTCAAATAGGTCAAATGGGAAAGTCCAGCACGAATCAAGCTTACAGAAGTTTTCTTCTCAAATCAGAACAATACTGCAGATAGTCTTTCAACTGACAAATGATGACCAGATTTTCTCAAATATTCTGTGTTTGAAAGTATTTTATCTAGTAAAAATGTATGTAAAACTGGTAAAGAGAATTTATTGCTTTTATTTATTACTCTAACAATATCTGGCAACCCAGTGTCCAYTGTCCATTGCAGAAAACTTTAAGTTTCTGGGAACCATCACATCCCAAGGTCTGAAGTGGGAGACCAACATATACTCCATCCACAAGAAGGCCCAACAGAGGATTTACTTCCTGTGGAAACTAAGGAAGCTGGGTCTGCCACAGGAGCTGTTGATCCAGTTCTACAGAGCGGTCATAGAATCTGTCCTGTGCACTTTGATCACAGTCTGGTTCGGAGCAGCCACCCAGCAGGACAAGAACAGACTGCATCGAACAGTCAGGTCAGCTGAGAGAGTCGTTGGTGCTCCCCTGCCCACGCTTCAGGACCTGTACACCACAAGAACTAGGAAACGGGCAGAGAAAATCATRTCAGACTCCTCACATCCAGGACATAGCCTCTTTCAACTTCTCCCCTCTGGCAGGTGCCATACAGCCTCATGCTCAAAATCATCTAGACACAAAAACATCTTCTTCCCCCAGGCCATCTCCCTGATGAACAATCCCAAATACTAGACCTCTTAACTAGTGCCTAATGAATATATTATTGTATATAATCCACAGACTATAATGTTTATGTCTTATGCTATTGTGCTTCCATCACTGTGTATATTGTATGTATGTGTATTGGCGAGACATCATCAGCCAGAAACAAATTCCTTGTGTGTGTCAACATACTTGGCCAATAAAGCTGATTCTGATTGTGCAAGCTTTTTTAAAAAAAAATTATATTACAATACAGGTGTTTGAACGTGTGACTGGTTAAACATGAACACCTTACCAAAACTCTGGATTTGTGTGAAAGAAGGTTGAACAAATACTTGTCCGCTCTATAAATATAGTGGCCCCTTGATGGCCCCTTACTCAGAAAAGTCCTAGATCCGCCACTGCTTTACTCAAGTAAAAAGCTTGAGTTGCTACTACAACTTCTACAAGGTAAAACCCTGGTATCTACACTTCTGCCTGAGTAAAGCAGGTGAATACTTTCGTGTCCTCTGGCCTGAGGTGACGCAAATGATAGTGTGCAGATGCTAAATTGTAAATGGTGGAACAAAGTTCTGCTGGCTGTTGATTGGCTGTCACAGTATGACATCATCACTAAAAAGCAGCCTCTGATTCCTCCTCCATCCTTTTTTCTACTTCCAGTCTCTCTCGGTCCCAGATCGTGACGAGCTGCAGCCCTGGCAGCTGTTGTCAGATCACTAACAAAACACAATCATTTGCTCTTTGTGACAAGCGTAACATTTCCTGAAAATTTCATTAAAATCTGTTCATAACTTTTGGAGTAAACTTGGGGACACCAAGACAAATGGTGCTGTCAGCAGAACGTCCTAATATGACTTGTGTACTGATACCTCCACAAGAGTCCAACTGAAAAGGCTCTGAATCATGTCCACTCCCACATTTGTAGCAGGTGTGAACGCTCAAGCAGAACTTCTTGTAATCAGTTCACAACAGTGAGTTAGTGTAGGGGTCTGAACAGGGTCCTCACGCAGTCTGATTTTATTTTTTTAGCTGTAGCTTTTTTATGAAGCTAATTCATGTAAACATATAAACAGTTACAGACACAATACAATACACCTGCAGTCACTAGCCTGACTTTGTGTACCTCTACATTAATTTGTAAAAACAGAGCCCACACAAACATCTAAGTCAGAACTATTCAACTGGTGGCCCGCGGGACACACCCRGCCCGCAAGTGACCAAAGTTCGGCCCGCCAATTGGTTCAATCATCTCTTAAGCCCAAACCCTTGGTTTTCTACTTTAATTACTCTAAGTTATTTTAGTTAAACATAGACATGTTTGGTATCCACAGAAATGTCAGAATCTTGGCTACAAGCTGGTAAAAACCATTTGAAAATCCAAGACAGTTAAAACTACAAGCATCCATCCATCCATCCATTTTCTTCCGCCTATCCGGGGTCGGGTCGCRGGGGCAGCAGCTTCAGAAGGGAGGCCCAGACCTCCCTTTCCCCAGCCACTTCTTCCAGCTCCTCCGGGGGAACTCCAAGGCGTTCCCAGGCCAGCCGAGAGACATAGTCCCTCCAGCGTGTCCTGGGTCTTCCTCGGGGAAGGACTCACTGGAGGGATTGTGTACCTCCTCTGGTCTGGGA